TATTTCGAGCTCAAGAAGTGTGTTCGTGTTCGGCTTGTCTGTTTAGCGAACCGAACACGAGTCGTTCACGAACAAAGAGTCGTTTTGATAAAACTAATCATGTAGCCATATTTTAAAGATTGGGGCAAGATTTAAAACATCATTTAATTCTAATTTAATAATTTTTATTCTATTTTCTTCATTAATACTTTTAATTGATTATAAATCTTTGTAGCCTTGTATTCAATTAAAATTTTTAAAAATACTACTCATCAAAGATATATATATATATATAATTGATTAGTAGTATTTTGAGCAAACACGAGCCGAACATGAACAAAAAAATATTTGTTCGTGTTGTTCGTGTTCGGCTCATTAACTTAGCGAACGAGCCGAGCACGAGCTTCTTAAGGATCCGAACACGAGCTGTTCGCGAACAACAAGCCATTTTGATAGCCTTAACCACAAATGACTAAACATAAGTAAACTTTAGGCCGGGATGGACTTGTAGGCTCACACACATGCATGTATGTACATACATGCATATGTGTATGTACAATACATATATACATACTTACATACATTTATACATTACCCCAGAGAATATTCATAAATTTTGGTTTCTTTTTTTATTATTTTTATAATGTGCTGGAGTGCTGTGGTATATACGAAATTTAAAACGATCGACTTTGACGAAGCGAAAAATAGAACGAGAAAAAATTCACACCAGAAAAGAACACACAGATTTACGTGGTTCGGCCAGTTGCCTATATCCAGAGAGTTGCAGAGGATTTTACTAATTGAGGAATTTACACCAGTTGATAGTCTTCAATTACAAGAGTGAACTCTTCCTTTCACTTCTTCACTTTTCTCTCTCTACGCCGAGATACACCGAAGAAGAAGAAATACGTACAAGAGAAAATCTGTTTCTCTTCTTGCGCAAGCCACCAAGAAGAAATCGAAATCAAGAACACAAATCAAGAACACATTCTTCTTCCTTCCAAGCATGCAAAATCAACTAAGAAAGAGTACCTAGCGAAACCACCCTTTTCACCTTCTGCTGCTCGTAAGCCTCAACAAGAATTCAAGCAATCCAAACAGGAAGTATCCTTTCCTGCTTCCGCTAAATGAAGGAGGCGAGAGTTTCTGTTCTTGCGTGAAGGAGACAGAAGCGAGAGATCACGAACTACGGGAGCGAGAGATTGCAAATTTGGGAGAGGTGGAGGTGGGAGTTTCGTTTTTTCGAACCGAACGTGACGAGGGGCGGGGGCAAAATTGGAGCAGTTTTTTTTTTCTTCGTGGACCGTCTCCACTTAACAAGAACAAGTGGACTCTGCAAAATGTCAGACAGATTCATGAACTGAAGAAGAACCTCATTTCTGTTGGACAGCCTGATGAGTATGGACATTTAGTAGTGTTCTCAGAAAGCACCTGGAAGGTTACAAAAGGAGTACTTGTACTGGCTCGGGGTAAGAAAACATGGACACTACATATGACTACTGGTTTAATTAACAGTGTTGATACTACTGTTGCAGAGAGCACAACAGAGTTGTGGCATTGCAGACTTGGCAACATGAGTCAGAGAGTTATGAAATAACTTCAGTCTAGAGGTAAGCTACTAAAACTGAAGTCAGTTGATCTCGACATCTGTGAGAGTTGCATTATGGGGAAACAAAAGAAGAGTCAGTTTGCAGATTGAAGAAGAGCTTGTATGGTCTGAAGCAAGCTCCTAGACAAGGTACAAGAAATTTGATAATTTCATGCACAGTGTAGGGTACAGCAGATGTCAGACAGATCACTGTTGTTATGTCAGGTATTTTGACAATTCCTATATCATCCTATTGTTGTATGTGAATGATATGCTTATTGCATGTGCTAGTATTGAGAAGATCAATAATTTGAAGGAACAAATGTCATAGCACTTTGCAATGAAGGATTTGGGAGTGACAAAACAAATCAATAGTATGAGAATTGTCTGAGATAGAGTCAGAGGCATGTTGACACTCTCGCAGGCTAAGTATGTGAAAAATGTACTTAGCAGGTTCAACATGGATAAGACCAAATCAGTTGGCACACCCTTGGGAAGTCACTTCAGACCCAACAAGAATGAGTCACCCAAGCCAGATGAGGAACGAGATCACATGAGTAAGGTTCCTTATGTTTCAGTTATTAGTTCACTTATGTATGCTATGGTTTGCACCATACCGGATATTGCCTATGCAATGAGAGTTGTTAGCAGATACATGAGTAATCCAGGAAAGGAATATTGGGGAGCAGTGAAGTGGATCTTGAGGTACCTAAGTGGCTCTGCAAAAACTTGCTTGTGTTTCTCAGGAAAAAGTTCACAGGTGCGGGGCTATGTTGATGTTGATCTAGCTGAAGACATTGATACCAGAAGAAGTACTACATGCTATATTTATACTATTGGTGACACTGCAGTATCAATTAAAAACTACATGAATATTACAAAAACAAATTATTCAATTTCAATAATTGGGGTCAGTTAATTTAGTTGATAAAATTTTAAAAATTATCATCAAAATGTTGCAATTAAATCCCACAAACATATATTTGTTATATTCCACTCAACATAAAAAATATAAAAAAAAACTAATTTCATCAGTCGCCAGCAAAAAAAAAAAAAAGAAAAAAAAAATAAATAAAATTTTGAAAAAGTAAGAGCTTTGGAGAAGAAAATTGTCGACTTATGCTCCAAACTTATCTCTTCCAATCTTGGCTTCTAAAATAAATATCAGATTTCTTTTCGTTCCGAATTATCTGTCTGATAAATGACTGATTTAATAATATCAAAATAAAGAGATAATGACTGTAAAATAAATATCAAAAAATAAATTTTCTTTTTTACATTTATACCCCTCAAATCTCTTCTATTGCATAATACAAAAATTATTGTCATTTTAACTTTTTAAAAGAAAAATAAAGCATTTCAAGCATGTGTAATACGGTATAAATGCAAAATTGGAAGTTTAGGTGGTAGACATGTAATCACATAATAATTAAAGTGGTATGTATGTGTATGTAAATCTTTCCAAAATTAAAAATAACTGTGAAAAAAAATTCTTATTATTATTTTTTTAAATTTATCTTCTAGAAAAAAAGTAGATCGAAAGAGAAGAAAGATTTCAGGAATGTATGTAAATCTTCCCAAAATTAAAATTAACTGTGAAAAAAAATTCTTATTATTATTTTCTTAAATTTATCTTCTAGAAAAAAGTAGATCGAAAGAGAAGAAAGATTTCAGGACAAAATTGTAAATAAACTTCAGATGATTGTTAAAGATGAAAATTTTGAGTGTAATATTAGAAATTTAAAATATTACATGAGAGTAGAATCTTAAAGACGCAATTACATAAGATATGATAAGAGGATTTAAAAGTGTTGCCGTCTCCACAAGTGGATGAGAAGATGAGAAAGTGGGCCTCCTTTTGTCTACTTGTTGATATGAGTTGATGTGGCCACCACATGGGGGGCCATAACACGTTTGGTATATTTTCATTTATCTCTTTCATGATTTCAATATCTTAAAATAACTTTTTTTTTTAATAATAAATATTTAAATTTCAATTAAAGATAATCTAGAGCTCTAATTTCAAACTGTCCGATTTGATAAGACGAACACAATGACACAAAAATTGATTGAATCAAGAACTGATACTTTAACTAAGTGTGTATTGAAGAATTCTTGTGCTATGTTAAGATGACAATGCATTACTCTACCGTCGCGAATTGTATAGCAAACATCAGTAATAATAATATTTAATGAGTTAAATGTCATTATTATATTATTATTATTAGTATATTAGTTGATTATGCTTA